GGGGAAACACCGAGAAATCATAGTGACTGAAGTAGACAAGTCTAAATCCCATGAAGCAGTTATGACCGTATTCAAGGAACCAATCTATCGTATTATGGAAAAGATCAAAAGAGAGCCATTATTTATTTGGCCGCCAAAAATGTTGGGAGATCCAGTTCAGCGCAATCAGAAGCTCAGATGCACCTATCACCAAGACATGGGGCATATGACTCAAATTGCAGAGCATTGAAGCAACACCTAGAAGACTACCGAGCCAGAAGAACCTAACAGAGAAACATGGAAGCTGTGAATGCACGCACATGGAGGGTGCCACCTCAGCTAGTCCCCTCTCCTAGAATCACGAAAACAGTTGATCAAAGGAATGTGATCTGCCATAAGCATGGTTACAATGAGTATATACACCCTTTGTCAACCAATAGATGGTCCCCAACCTTGAGGAATGCTAAAGGAAACTTTGCAACACCAGAGCTCCATGAAACTATCTTGGGCAACAAGCAAGGAGTTCTATATAAACTACACTGACTTCACATTGATGGTAATTGACCTAAGCTAAACCATACTCACCTAAACACAACTCTCTACACTTAGAAAGTACCTAGCACTAGTTCTGATTACTCACTCCCACACTGGAGGGGTTATCCGACCAACCTCGGCCGGGCAACTGTAACAGTGCTCATTGGAGGCGCAACTTGTGTTTCTTCAGAATCTGGAACATCTCACCTAGGTTCTTTAGATGGTCATTCTCATCCTTGCTTTTGGCCACCATGTCGTCGATGTAAGCCTCCATTGTTCTGCCTAACAATGGTTCAAACATCTTGGTGACCATCCGTTGGAATGTTGCCCTTGCGCTCTTTAGGCCAAAGGGAATGACCTTGTAACAGTACAGTCCTCTTGGAGTTGTAAAGGATGTGACCTCCTGGTTTGGTTCATGCATGGCGATTTGGTGGTAGCCTCTGTATGCATCCAGAAAGCTAAGTCGGTTGTGCCTCACCGTTAGGTCTACCAGTTGATCTATCCGTGGTAGAGGAAAGCTATCTTTTGGGCACGCCTTGTTAACTGTTTTGTAGTCGACGTAGACACGCCATTTGCCATTCTTTTTTGGCACTACGACCGTGTTGGAGATCCATTTTGGGTAGTGCACCTCTCTAATTGCTCCTGCCTCCAGCAGGTTACCTACTTCTTCTGCCACTATTTCGGCATGGTGAAGTGCCGATCTGCGAGTGCGCTGAATGACTGGTCTGGCGGATGGGTGGACATTGAGTTGGTGACAGATGAAGTTTGGATCAATGCCTGGCATGTCGTAGGGTGTCCAGGCGAACACTTCGATGTTAGAGGTTAAGAATTCCAAGACCTCTAATCTCTTAGTGCTGGACAACGACGAACCGAGCAAAAAGAACTTATCCGGGTTTTTTTCATCTATTTTTACCTCTACCAAGTCCTCCATTGCTTTCTGATCCGCCACTTTGCCGACATCTGCGAGTAGCTCATTACTCTCAGGTTCTTCTACCGAATGAACGTATCCTTTGGCAGCGCGGCTGCCATTCACCGTGACAAAGCATTGTTTCGACATGATCTGATCTCCATAGACTTCTTCAATTACTCCGGTGTCGTTGGGAAACCGCATTACTTGATGGTAGGATGACGCCACCGATCGCATGGCATGCAGCCATGTTCTGCCTAAGATGATGTTGTAAGTGGAGGGGACCTTCAATACCCAGAACTCCACTTGTTTCGTCACACTTCCTGCTTTAACTGGAAGAATTATTTTGCCGACGGGCCATTCTGGCATAGAGTTGAATCCAATTAGGGGTGATACAGCAGGCGCCAAGTCTTTGTCTTGTAGCTTCAACTGTTTGAATGTTTCGTAGTACATGATTTCACATAAACTACCCTGGTCAAGCAGAATCCGCTTGACGTCAAAATCCTTGACTCGGAGAGTGACGACCAGGGCATCATTGTGAGGGCAATATATCCGTTCCAAGTCTTTATCCGAAAAAGACATGACGTTTGTTGCCTCTGTCTTCCCCTTCTTGGGGGCAGGTTGGGCACTTAGTACCTCTCTTAAGTGTTCAGCCTTTTTGATTGATCCTCTGAGCTCGTATACATGCTCAGGTTCAAAGACCCCATGTATCACATTGATAACGCCTTGAGGCGGGGCGTCGACTGGCATCCCGTTGGGGTTATTGTGATCCTGGGGGGCTGGTTGCGTCCCTCCTTCAATGTACTTATCTAGGTGTCCTGCTGCCACCAACTCCTCCAGGTGTTGTCTTAATGGTGTGCAATTCTCAGTGCGGTGTCCCTTTTCTTTATGGAAGGTGCACCGTGATCTTTCGTCATAGTCCTTCTACGCTTCCCCTAGTTTGGCTGGCCACTTGACGAAAGGCTCATCTCTTATTTCGCTCAGAATCCGATATATCGGTTTCTTGAACACCGTGGTTATGGCAGTGCGGATTCTTAACCATCTTTTATCCAGGTCTTCTCCGTTATCTCGTCTGCCACGTCCGTTTCTGTTACTTCGACCTACCGTGTTGACCTTTGCTGAGATCTTCTTTTCTGGTACTGTGGTTGCCCCAGATTTTGCTTTGGCACGTGCGCCATCCTCTTCTACCCTGATGTGCTGGTGCGCTCTTTCCATCAAGGCTTCCATGGTGAGGGGCGGCGTCATGGTGATTGAGTCCCTTAGTCTGTTCCCGACTGGAAGGCCTCGTTTATACTGTGCAATAGCGAGATTGGTGGGGCAGTCCCCAATCTGATTGAATGTCTCCCAGTAGCGACTATTGTAGGATCTAAGGGTCTCTTTATCGCCTATGTCGATGGAGAGCAGCTGGTCGATTTCCACAGGGGTTTTAGTGTTTGTTCGGAACCTTGTTACGAGCGCCTCTGCCAATTGCGCCCAAGAGGCTATGCTGCCCTCTGGAAGTTTCTCGAACCAAGTTAAGCCTAGGTCGCCAAGGCTAGATGGGAAGAGTATGCACATTAAGGCCTCGTTTCGCCTGTATATAGCCATGACCTGGCGAAAGTGGCTTAAGTGTGAGTAGGGGTCCGTCTTCCCTTCATATGTAGTGAATTTGGGCTGAAGGAAGCCTGATGGTAGGGGCGCGTTTTCAATTGCCGGAACAAACGGCGAAGTCTGCAGCCTTGCTAATGCTTTGTCCGTTGGTTCGTAGGCAGGGCGCGGTATTGGCATTCCAACCTCGACGCTTCCATGCGTCCGAGGAGCCAACCGCTGTAAGGCAGAAACCCTGTGTGGATCCCGTGCCCTGGCGTCCTCCTTGCATCGTGCTTTTTCTTCGAGCGCGGTTCGTAAGTCGGATGATCTTGGTAACTCCGTCTGTCTAGATCTGGTTTGGTGCGTATGTGAGGGCCAATACGTGCTTCCTTCAGTGTAAGATCTTTCAGATCTCGTCCTCTTAGACCTGGAGTGACGAGTTCTGGAAGACCTGGATCGAGTATCGCCTGTCCTGAGGCTTCTACTCTCTCCTTGCGAGGGTGTGGTATTCCTACTACGATTTTCTGAGTGGCGAGGGGGCGTCTTGTTTTTGCGCCCCTCTCCTGTCGCCACTTCTTTTTTCTTCATCTGGTGCTTCAAGGCTTCCATGTCGGCCGCCATCTTCCTTATTAATTCATCTTGCTCCTTCACGCGGTCCTCCAGAACTTGAGGATCAATCCTCCGTCTTTGCTTGTCGGGACTTTGTGAACGAGAGTGACGGGGGTTGTGAGTCCGTCTTCCCCTAGTATCTCTCCTGGGGTTATGTCGCTGGGACTCCAAGTCCGCCATGGGAGGGACAGAAGGTAATCCTTTACGCCTTGTGCCCCCATCTGGAGTTTGCCCATCGATGGCGGAATGTGGCAATTCTTCAATGTGCGCCATTGTAAAGAGGAGAGGCTTAATCAAGAGGTTTTGTCCTGTCTGGCTTTCCCACAGACGGCGCCAATTGTACGGGAAAGAAATAAACCTTCTCGTATAATCCTGTTGATCAAGTCTGCGCTCCTCCGTACGTCGTCGCTTTATCACCTGAAAACACAAACGTGAGCTAGCCGGCGGGTGTGTGCTGGAAACCTCTCCGATGCCTAAGTTAGTAAGCTTGACAAATAGACAAAGCTCTGTGTATTCAAAAAGCAAAATTGTGTGTTACCTCTCCAAAGGTGATGTTTGTGAGCTTTTATAGGTTTTGTGTGGCATAATCCTAGTAGGACTTCTACTCCTCCATGCAGAGTCTTCCTAGGATTCATACCCCTAAAAGATAATGCTTATCCTCCAACACCCCCCTCACTGCTTAAACCAAGTGAGATGGTTATTACCATGGCCAAACTCCCACATGACCGAAGTAATCATGGCTATGCTGAGCCACAGAGTAAGCCGTACTATCCTTAGTTCGGCTCTTCCTTCTCCTCTTTATCCCGGTTCTCTTATGTACAAACCATGGTATGTTTAGACTGAGCTACCGAGTAGCAAGGTTCTGACCGTTCTAACCACAACACACCATGACCGGACTAACTTTGAGACCGGCCTAACTCTTAGTTACTTCCGGACCGGAGTAACTTTACATTCCTCGGCCGGAGTAATTTTGTACCTCTCTCGGGCCGGAGTAACTTTTACGCCCTTTTTACTCAGCCTTTCGTATTGTGGGCCATAATGACATCTCCCAACTCGGCCCAATTTTTACAAAAATTACCCTCTTAAGAATGTTGTGTCAATCCCTTTCCTTGTGCAGGGTATCATACACATAAATCTAAGAAAGGAATGTGGTTGGTAATTATTGCAATTCACGCACACCTGGTTTGGAGTATGACTTCGATTCTTTAATTATAGGTAGTCTATTTATTAGTCATAGGTTCCTTAAGTGCCAATTTATTTGAGGTATAAAATATAACAACTTCAAAGTCTTAAATCTGTTTATATATGTTGGTACAAACATGTGTGCACACATAACTCATAAGTGTGTGCATGTTGCTGATTCCTTGAAAGAAGTGCAACTTATTCACATAGGAGAGTTTACCTGCAAGAAGTTCAAAATCCAGTATTTGACAGAGCAGGTTACTGTATATGTCTGCACAGATTCAAATAAATATTGTGTTTAGTTAAGAGATCAAGTTACTCAAGATAACTAAGCCTGCCAAAAGAAATGAAGGGAAAAAAAAAAAAAAAAAATAGAACTCATGATATGAAAAAGAACAGATGAAAACCTAAAAAGCTTTGGAAAGCTAATAGCACAAGTTACGTTTTTGAGTGGCACTAACTATGGGGTAAAAGTGGCTTACCATCATGACCTGAACTGCGAGGAAAGCCACCCAAACAAACACTAGTAGTCCTAACTCTTTCCAGTAAATGTTGTATTGCAGGGGAACCTGAGGGGACCGGGAGGTGAAAAAATTGAAATAAAGATTCTTGGAAGAGGTTTACTGCAAAGACTGTTGAGACATCCATGGACTCACCTCCTCATTAGCTGAAGCACCTGGACCACTGGGAAGTGGTTTGTATTCCTCTCCTGAGCCATCTGCAGTTCAGAAGATTAGCATAATCCTTTTCAATTGTCAAATTTCATGTAGGAAAGGGGAGTGTTTCTTTTGCTATTTTGCCTAGCTGTGATATCTTTTCTATCATGAGGATTTTGGTCTTGTTAGCGAAGCCATGTTACGTAGCTATACTTTTGACGATTTTGCGGCATCAACTAATTTACATCTTATGTGATTTTCTCAACATGAAGCAATTATAATTTAACGAACAGAGCAGAAGATTAGGGAAGTAGCTGACCCAAAATTTCATATGTTGAACTTGAAAATTTTAACATTTATTTATTTATTTTTGGATTGAATTTCTCCATTGGGGGGAGTTTGCAAGCAGGTTTCTCTGTGCTGTGTTTCTCAAACTGAGAGTGCACATATTTCTGATCACAGTTCGCAGCAATTTTGTTTGTGGTAATGAAAAGACATAGGGGTTTCTAGTAGCTTGAGTATGCTTTTACTGGGATAATATGAGATCTAGAGGATTTAAAACCTGAAATGACAAGTGCTATCCAAAAACTAAAATAGAATTTAATTTTTTTTTTCTCTATTTTCCCTTTCTTCCCACCCCAAAAATCTAATATCCAAACAGTCTTAAAATTGTTTGAAAGGCCAGAAAATATTTGTCATTAAGAATTTATATAGGGTAGCATAAATACAAAATCTTTGGAAATTCTGTTATTTTTATTAGTTCTGCCAGTCTAATCACTGGTAAATGTCTATTTAGTTAGTTTCAATTATTTACAAGTTTTGACAGGAGGGGACCATCAAACACTCACCAAGTGCTTTGGATTCCGATTCCAACTGCTTGGCTGCTTCCTGAAAGTGAAGTTCAATCTCAAAATAATCCAGTCATGAAGGAAATAAATCCATTGAGAGCTCACATACATGCAACTAAAAAATCTTACCTTTTTCATCATTGTCTCTTTCTTCCATGTTTCTATGGCTTTGAATAATGCTTTACTTGATGTACCTACCATGATTAAATACACAATTAAAATAAAATAGTTTTAACCAGCCCCAACTTGGGGAATCGAACATGACCTTTGACTTTGAAGGAGAAGAATGACACATTTAGAGCTGCAAAAATACATAAATATTATGATTTTACTTTCATCTAGTTTAATTAGTCATTGGACAGTGTACAGAGATTGGCGGTTTCATATATTCTAACTTCTGTATCTAAGAAAAGGACGATGAGTAGAACAGTAAGTGAGTATGCCCTCTGGCTCCAGTGAGCAAATATTATTACCTAAGAAAAGGATGATGAGAAGAACGGTGACCATCCAATCAGCAAACATAACGTTGAAGGTGACTCCAATGCTGATACCAAGCATGAGCATAGGCTGAAATAGCAATGCTAGGTCATAATCTATCAAGGGCATGTCTAGTGTTGGGTGTCTTAGTCTTAGATTGTAGTACACTGTCGAGCCTGCTGCACCCATTATCATACCTGTAGTGTTCCAAAAGCATTCACGGTGGTTCACAATCAAGTAAACTATAGAAATGGAATGAGGTTCTTTTAAAAAGCATAAATATATATATATATATATATATATATATTAGATGCCTCAAGAGAAATAAATATGTGCATTATATGTTGGAGGCAATGACAGTTGTATATACCCCCGAAAATTTTAAAAATTTAGAAAAGTAATTACAATTTGAATAGCTTTTTAGATATTTTTTTCTATGTACCTAATATTACTGATGTTCTCATGCATAATGATTGCTTGCTATAGCCTTTTCCAAGAAAATATGAATAATATCTACATGCATGCATGAGTAACTATATGAATGGATATGTAATGTATTCATGATATATCAGAGTTATGAGGTTGTTGAAACCCGCAAAAGAGTTACACATATACAAAGGCCATTCAAGTTGTAAAATTATAATTGTTATATCTGGAAAGAAAGCAAATTTCAAAAAAAATTAGACTAGGTATAGCAGTACAGACATTTGGAAATGGCAGTAGAAGACTTAGGATCAAAACCAATGATCAAAGTAAGCATTGGAACAAAAATTCCACCGCCACCAACCCCTCCAACACTCCCTAAAGCTGCACCAAAGAATCCGATCACTGATCCCAGCACGATTCTCCACCCCAACTCCATCTCCTGCTCAACCAAAGAATTCATATGTCAATATATTAGATACAAACAATTCCAAGGGAAAATAGAGAGAAAGAACAAAAGATTGATCAATACATATTAGAAAAAACGTAAAATAAGATGTATTAGCAAAACAGAAATTTTATATTCGTAGAAAAAAATTATATAAAAGACTCACTGGCCAAACAGGTTGATAAGAAGATTTTCCAGTCTGCCAGAAGAAATGAAGCAGTCTGACAACAAACCCATGTCTCATTTCTTTCTCAACGAAATAACCTGGCTCGGTCGCTCTCAGAAGTCTTTCTGCGCTGCCGACATCAATGACGGTGAAGAGTCCCCAACAAACCACCCACGCAGCCGTAGTTGCTGTTAAAATATGTTAGTATTATATGTTAGTGATGTTAGTATTCTATGTTAGTATTGCTAGTGTTATCATTATGTTTAGTACAGCATTATGTTAGCTGTAATAATTATCCTTGCTTTATGCTTTCGGTGCCTCAATTGGCACCCAATGTTGGCTTTCTCCTCTCTATAAAGAGAGTGTAAATCTTTTTGTAAATATACAGAATATCAATCAAATACAATCAATAATAATACATCAGTTGTTTTACAGTTGCAACAGCCTTGGCTCTCTGGTTCAGCTCCTTTGTTAGAGCCATTTAGATCATGGACTAGAGATTGTTGGGAGGAGAGACGGATGGGTGTTCTCTGAGTTTCTGTGAATTTAGCGACCGAGCTCTAACCATATGTCTATATGTATTGTAGTTGTCCTTTCTCTTTTATAGTATCCTTATTTTCTTTCACAAACATGCATGCAATAAGTAGAGGAAAGAGAGGATTTTTGAGGATGGAAAGGAAAATGAGGATTCCACTCAATACACCATGTTGCTGTCAACATTTATAAATCTCTCTCTCTCTCTCTCTCTCTTTGTATTTGTATTTTGTAAAATGCTATATTTGTTAATAATTTTTTTTTCTTATTCAAAGGGACCTACTAACATAATATGATAAAAACAAGTGGGTAAATTTTTTTGGGTCAAGTTTATTAACTTCGTATAACATTACTCTGAAGTTTTTTATGGATCATCTCAACTTGAATGGTGACAAAAAAATAATATACAAATAAAATATTTCATGAAAATTATGTTGCTACTTAATCTTTGTTTGATAGTGAAAGTGAGTTTTTTTATTCATTAAAAATAAGCGTAGACATGATTAATGTTTTTTCTAAATAAAAATGAATAAACTTTAAATGTTACCCAAATGGCACTGTAGCATTTTGTTTTGTATGTATATTTTGAACTCAATTTTCAAATTCAGTCCATAAGCACACATGTTCACTACTTGATGTAGACCAACTAGTTTGAAGATTTCATTTTACAGATTCTGTTTTAGGTGTAACACTGATTATCATCCTCAATTCGTATTCGCTTGGTTGTAATATAGATTCCTTCATTGAGTTGTTTTCAGCTTCTTTGATCTTTGATGCAACCAAATGTATCTTGTACAGATATGAGCTACATTTTGCTATCGAACACTGGAAGTTGAAAATTTCAGAAACAGTGGGAAAGGGAAACAAATACAAGGACGGTTTGTTTGCAAGCTCACTCTTCACTGCCATTTCAGAAACTTCCTGGAAACTGGTAAATGCTTTGAACTGTGTAAAAGGTCCCAAAATTGACACAGTCATCACTCACAATTGTCCACCTCTTAGTAAGATTATCTCCAATTGAAATTATAATGTGTGTTAAATAGTAAAAAGAGATAAATATGGAGTTTATTTTTGTTTCAAGTGTATGTTAATTTAATAAGTATGTGGGTACTTCAATGGATTAAGTAATTATCCAGAAGTCCCCATAGCAAAAAATTTTACGCGCGAGACTAGTTAACTCATATCTTTTAGGCAAGTTAGGAGACTAATGATGACTCACTTATAGTGCACATTATAATTTCTCATTTGAAGTTATGTCTAGTTGATAAATATTTATTTGATTAAATCGTAATTTTCCATGATTGATAAAATAATTGTTGAATTAACTAATAAATTTGCAAAATCTGACCTTGGCAATGTAACAAAATTACTCGGAACCCTTAACTTTAAGGTTGAAAAACTAATAAAATTTTACTTTACCTACAAAACATTAAAATGTATTTCGAAGTGAAAAATGACTGAGTTACATTTGTTTTGTATTATACTTGGTACTTGATTCCATATAACATTTTTTTTTTAAATATGAGATTCTAATAAAAAAAAACATAGGATAATCAAATTCTTATTTAATTTTGAAATGTAATTTTAATTTTGATTGTAACTTTTGTATTTCAAATACTAATAGTAACAATTCAGAATCACATTTTTATTTTTCTTACACTATGTTGATTGGAATAAGTTTGAATGTAATGGTCATTCTATCAAAACATTCATTCTCATATTTAGTTTACTAAAAAGTTACAAAAAAAAAAAAAAAAAATGCATATATCATTCATTGTTCGTTTGAGAATTGTCTCTTTTAGTTTAAAAGTTAAAAAGTTATTAAAAAAATCAAAAAAACCAACAACCTATACCAAAAAGTCAAATATTTCATTTTCTCTCTATTTTTTGCACATCTTTTCGTAAAAAGTCAAAAATTTATCCCTAATATATTAGTTTTTTTAGCTCATATTTTAGTCAAATAATTAAAAAATTACTAAATTAGCCTGTTTCCAAACGAGACTAAGAGATTAGTCAGCCCTTAAGAAGAATAAGGAATCAATCAAACATTGGCCCTGTTTGATAGGGCTTATTTCAGCTTTTAGCTTAATTTAAACTATTTTAATTTGTTTGGTTCAGCTTCATAATACAGCTTATAGCTTTTTGTAAGTCAAAAATCAACTTAATCTTTGAGTGAGGGAGGAGAAGCTTAATTTATAAGTCAAAAATTAGCTTATGTTTACAGTTATAAATTATAAGTTATTAGTGTATAAGTTATAATCACTTTTCTATAGTTTTACCAAACGGAGCCATTATCTCAAGATTCACGCCATTCATACATAATAAGAGAAATTAGATGTCTATGTACACTTAAAAAAATATATTTTAATTAATAATAAACTTTTTCATCAATTAGTAATTAATTTCTAAAAAACCCACCGAGCTCTATTTTTCCCAACATAATATAGAATGTGTGTTTTGAAAGTAACGTAACATCAAAATCAAATCTATCTAAAAGCAAAACAAGCAAAGCAATTTTGAGGTGTGTTTGGTTTGTGTTTGTAGAATAGTTTTTGAGATAAAAAATATAAAAATTTGTTTGGTTTGTCTTTTTTCAGAAATAATTTTGGAAATTTATTTTGGAAAGAGAGTTTTAAAAAAAGTGATTGATTTGATGTGTATGAGAGAGAGAGTGATTTTGGAAAGTAGGTAACCAAACAAAATTTTAAAATTTTTTTTGAAAAAATTTCTTTGTAGAAAATTTTTCTCAAAAATTTTTCTGAAAAACAAACCAAACAAGAATTTTCCAGGAAATTTCGGAGCCGCACCGTGCAAGTTTGGAGCGAATCTCTTTACGCGCTATGGTCAGATTTCCGGTTACAGTATATGAAGCTTCTTCATGGTTGCTTCAATTTACTCTTTTGGCTTCTTCTTTACTACTCTCATCATCATCATATATATGAATCTCCCACTCACAAGCATGCACTTTCAAACAAAAAAATCATTAATTGCATGACCATCACCCACCCTTTGACAATCAGTAATGCTACATATAATAATAATAATAATAATAATAATAATAAAAAGTACTTTAAGTTAGTTTATTTTGACATAAAATATTTTATTAATTTTTTGTTGTTTGATTCAGCAAGAAGTAAAGTGAACCTTCTTTTAAGATTTTTTTTGGCATTATTTTCTTAAAAATGATTACTTCCAAAAATTTCGTAAGTCAATTTTTAAAAAGTTAACTCTCACTCACAACCTTTTCAACACATTTAATCTTTTGAAATAAATATCTTGACTCATTAAAAAGTCATAAATGACACTACATTGAATCAAAATTTATCTTTTAGGTAATAAAACATTTTTATTTGAAGTGTCAGTCAAACACCAAAAAACAAAAATATTTTTTCTATATAGAATCAATTTACAAGAAAAATATTTTTTATATAAAATATTTTATATCGAAACAAACGGAACCACAATATAAAATATTTTGGATTTGAGTCACTGATACCACATTAAATTTGATACCACATTAAATTTGAATTCATATGGTGATTTTAAATTTTAGTCCCTTTTCTATGTATTTTATGTAAATACGTTGTATTATTAGGGCATGCATGAATCATCATCTAAGGGCCCGTTTGTTTGGAGTTATAGGGAGAGAATTGAGATTGATACTGAAGTGAGACTACTATATGGAGTGTTTGTTTTGAGAGATGATGAGAAGATTACTAATCTATTGGTATTAGTAAAGGCCTTGGAATGAGGATTGGTAAGGAAGAAGTAGAGATGGTATTAGAAAAATAGTGAGGAGATTAGAAATTTTTTTATTTTTTATATATTGGGAATTTTTTTTTAAATATTAATGTTTAATTTTTTATATTTATTTATTTATTTTATTATTTTATATAAAAATAATTTAACAATTCCTCACTATCAAGCCCCTCATTATTAATCCCTTCTATTTTATCTCTGAAAACAAACGAATCCTAAGTACTTTCATGTCAATATGTTAAGTTACTTGGCATAACTGTAACTATAATATCTGTATGATATTCTGTGTCTTTTACCTCACTCATTAAATTTGTTCGTAAACAATATATCAATATATTAAGTTGATGCCATAAGACTACTTAATAATTATCCATAATCTAGTGCCCGATTAAAGTGTAAATACAGTAAATTAAAATGATTGGATTGTTTTTACATAAGGTTTGCATTGGTGATAAGGTAACATCATCTTACATGAGATTGAGAAATTGTTCAGAATGTTCTAAATAAGTACACTTTTTGTCTTTTTAAACTAAAAAGTTGAGAAAAAAAAAATGAATATTTAGGTTAACTTTTTGTCTTTTCACAAAAAAATGTGTAATAAAAAATTGTATAAATAAAGTGTACACAATTTATTGCCTCTTACCAACTCAACCAAGTAATTCCCACGCCACAATGAAAAATCTTTCATTAGCAGTATTATAATATCATCTTGTGATATTACTATTATATTCAAAATTTATTCAATTGAAAGATACAACCATGTCATATACAACATAGTAAACGTACAAATGTAGCCCTACTTGCTGTACATTGACGAGGTTCTCTTGGAGTTTGCACTATACATCAACATGCCATGTTTTCATTTAAGAGCTAAAGATGCTGCAAATAATGCACTAACGAACACTTGGGTTTTACACATTTTGATCATATTACATGTTAGTTTGTGCCTTGGATTCCTCTTGCTTTGTACTCGTCCAATAGCCAGTACAAACTGTACAACAAGAGCATTCTGATCTTAAACTACAGAACAAATCTTGTTACTCTAATCAATGGTATAAATTTATCTTGTTCGTTGTCGTTAAGAAGATACTATCGAAAAAAATAGGACAATAGAAAGGTTGGAAACATAAGTCATTTTTTAGTTGTCTTCGAATTATATGCAAGCACCATTCTTAGTTTTCAAAAATGATGACATATATATATATATATATATAGGCCAATAGGACAGAAATAATTTACAGACACCATAAGACTTACATTACACCTTCAATAAGATAATGAAGTCCAAAACAACACAACACCACAAACAGACAACAAATATAATAATCACATAAAAAAGACGACTACAAGAAGAAAAGACTGCACATGGATGAAAAGAGTTGAACTCCTGAGATTCATGGGAACTTTTACCAATGACACCATAGATTCATAGTGCAAGCTCGCAGCCCTGACTACACAAATTTTTTTTGGCTCAGCTGTAATACTTAAAGACTTGAACGGAATACTTAAAGACAAGACCAAATTAGCTCGCAAAGTTTAAATATGTATCATTATAAAAGAACAATCTTGTAAAATAGTAGCTATTTAAAAATTTGGACTCCTGATCTTGAATTCATAAAAAGAAACATAAACCTAAAGCAACTATATTTCTAAGTTCTAACTACTATAAAAATGTCTTTATAAACAGAGGTGGGATTTCTATTATTTGGCAGGCTTTGAAATTCAAGTTTATGCTCAATATAAGGCCACTAGCCCGACCAATGTCCACTCTTGTTCACATAGGGGTATTATTGGTAAATTGAAAGGGGTACCAAAGTAATTAGTGTACAGTTTAACCCAACAAGAAGGATGTAACATATTCTTATTGATGTGGAGTACAAGTATCCCGAGGTTGTGCAAAGCAAAGATCGTTTGGTCGTTCTCTCTACCACAAGTGCCCCTTCCACCTTCGTTGCACCTGAGAACTCAAAAGAAGGTCCAGTTGATGCCCGGTTAGTTGGGCTTCGTGGTTTAAAGTAACCATAATGCACTAGGAGTGAGCAATAATTTTTCCCCACACAAGTCTCCAGTACTCCTAGTCCCCCACATTCAAAACTCCAAGAAATGGCTAAGCAAGGATCCTGTGTCTTATTATTCACAATCACAAGATTAAATTTTCTGTTCAAATTAAAAATCAGCCAGGAACCACCTAAACAACAGCTCCAAAATCAAGGAATCCTCACCCATAATCTAAAAACCCCACCACAATAACAATATCCAAATTTATTCAATGATCCAGAATCACCAATGACAACTTTGATCTTGCTACTCATGACCGCTCATAAAAGAAAAACAAGACTTGTGATCCTACCTTACCATCTCATTAAAAAGGTGGATAGGTGAAAACGGGAGGAATCAAGTCATTTTACTCCAAAACAGAAACCACAGTGGATTCTTCTCTCTTCAGAATGCTCTCAGAGAATGGTAGTCTCCGATTATTGTAATGCTCGCCAGATATTTTCTAAACTAGACCTCGTTACAATTCAAACAAACTAGCAAATTGCTAATGAATCCATAATGGCCACTTTCATCCAAATGTAGTGGTGTCTGAACACTAGCAGTGTGGCCCTCTGTTTTCCAGTGTAAAACATTTTATATACAAATGAGGTTGACCATAGATTTTACTGGTATGTTTCTGCAATTGCCAATTCCACTTCCCTATATAATACTTGCTATGTAATCAATATTAAATAAAAAACTAGTTAAACAATTCCTTGTGTGCTTACAATAATAATCAACCATAGATTCTATTTTTTGGTCATAATATCACAAGAACACAAATTCACCAAGCTATCTCTAATCTCCAAAACATATGTAATACATCAATTGAAATACCTCACAACTCTTTCCTATGGCTACAGCTACAATCATTCAATACAGTAAGATCATACACACAATTCTTCAGAAACCATCTAAAAGGGATTAATAATCAATTCAATGCTAACAATGAAGACTAAGAAAAAACAATTTCCACAAAGTCGAGCTAAAGGCAGCGAGAATTCAACTAGCAGCACATATATTTATTTGCTTCATTTCAACCATCAGCAGTAACAGACACTAAAACACAGGCAAAAGTTCTTACATAGAACAGCGAGAATACAAATAGCAGCACAAATATTTATTTCCATCATTTCAACCATCAGCAGACACTTAACACGACCAAAAATTCTTACATAGACTGTCATAGTATCCTAACCACATAATGAAGGTTTTAGAGGACAAGAAAGACTAAAGAAAAGGCACGAACAAATGAATCAAATGACCAAGCCTAATGTAGGATCTTCAGCTCACTTTCCCGAGCTTGATCAAACCACACCCCTGGAGGATTCATTGGAGTTTCAAATAAATCAGGAAGAAAAAAAAATGCAATTGTTGAACCAGAAACAAGAACAAGCATAAGCAGTAGTTTGTGACTTACCAGTGAAGCAATAGGTGTTGAGACATCAAAATAGCCTAGTATTCATATTCACGAGAAAGTGACCTCTCTGAACGCCTATATTCACGGTCCGAATCTCGAGTTCTCTCCCTTTCATGCTGTTCAGAGGTTGCTCGATCATAATTGTAGTTGCCCTCCTCCATTTGATCATATCGATCACGATCACGATCACGATCAGGATGACCATAGTGGTCTTGATCACCCTGGACATCCAAATTATCCAATTCCCCCCGACTATGATGGTGTTCAAGATACTCGTAGTGTCCATGGTCATGCTCAGTTTCTGAATGCCTATGCCCGTGATCACGCTGTTCATACCATTCAGGATCATCCTCCGGCTCAACATGATCATGGTTCCTCTCCCTCTCACCATGCCGATCTCGCTCATGTTTTGATTCCACAAGGTCATAGTCGTACTCTCTACCACGGGAACGTCCTCGAATGGTCAGGGTCCCCAAGTTCATAATCTCTTTCCCTATCCCTCTCCCTCTCTCGAGGACGGTCCACGATCACGCTCATATTCCCTACCACGGTCCCGGCCACGATCTCTGTCACGTCCGCGATCACGATCACGGCCCCTGTCTCTCTCCCTATCTCTGTCTCTGTTCCTGTCGCGGTCTCTGTGGTGCCTATCCTCCCTATGATCATGATCCCTTGATCTGTCATGAGAGCGCTCATGAGACTTTTCCCGCTCTCCCTCTCTATCCCTTCCCCTTTCACGGGATTTTTCTCTATCCCTGTAAGTTGTAACATTTCTATTCATCAGTAATCATCTCATACAATATCCAGTCAGAAATATGACATGCTAAGGATTTTGTTGAAAATCCATCTCATAACTAAATTCCCTTGATTAAAAGTAACTGTGTTCTTTGTTTTACCCTGTTAAAGCTTTCACATTAAACTGCTACAAATATGCATGTCACAAAACGAGTAATGAAATATGATGCTTCACTGTGGTTAAAGCTTTCACATTAAACTAATACAAATATGCACGTCACAAAAGTTTCACTTTGGACTGTGTCCAAGCATTTCTTCAATTAAGGTAACCAATCCTTGCATGCCCCAATCTGGCTGTCTTAACTGTTTCTTTGCTTGAACAAGTCTAAAAGTTAAAAAGGTACATAACAAAAATATGCAATTGCAAAATATATCAACAGATATGTTACCTGTCCCCATGCCGATCGTCGCGTATTCTTGGCTCCTCTGACCTTGATGGTCCTCCAGATTGCTGTACGTCTCTGAGCATTTAAAAGAATGGAAGCAAAGAATTACATTTCCGTTAAAAACAATGGGATGTTAACATATCAGAAAGACCTAGATTGGCCAACAAAACTAACTGGAAACAAGTCCAAAGGCATAGCTTTTGAAATCCAACAGTCGATCTGATAATTATAAATAAGTAATCCGTAGATATTTCACTCCACACAACACGCAGAACCAAGCTATTCTAGAATCTCAGGGATGGAACCTTGACACACAGTAATTGAACTGTTTCACTACCTAATTGCAAGGGAATGCCCATGACCTATGTATGAGCAATATGTTAATTAGACAACCATAGGAACATAATAGTCAAGAGAATGGTTCATACACATTCAGCCAACTAGTCAAATAATTCCCCATACACAATTGAATTATATACGGCAAAGAAAGCAAAAAGAATTGAACTTATAAAAGCCTTCAACACAAACTACTTGGGGAACAGGAACGAAAGTTTGGGCTTGGTTATGCTTTTTGTTCCTATGCTTTGAACAATTACAAGAACGGTTGAACATAACTATTTGTATGCTGCAAATAAGAAAATTTTAAGTTTTTTTGTCATGTATAGAGGTATGTGCAAATGTTGCCATCAAACCAATTACCTCCCAGAATACTTTTGATTAACATCTTCCCCTCCAACCCTAGTTGTTCCAAGTCCACCACCAAGTCTACGAGGACGCCAGTTTGGAACAGTTCTACCACGTTCCACATCCACAAGCACCCTTCTGTTATCGAGCTTTTTCCCATCAGCTTGTTTATATGCAGCTGCATGACATACATGAAGCAGTCAGAATCAACATGTGACATAACCGCAAAAAATAAAAACACAAATTAAACTACAGCAAACCTTTCATATCCCGTGTATGCATGTACTCAATGAAAGCATAGCCTCTAGGTTTATTTGACTCTTTATCCGTAACCAGACGAATCTGCAACTCAAAGGATAAAATAATGAGCTACAATTAAGTAGATGCGTCAGATTTGCAGCAAAGAAACAGGATCAGATCAAAATGCTCTTTTAATTTTATCAACGGACAGTTCTACTAAACAAAGCTGGAAATGGTAAAATCCTAAATGGCACGGCAGACAGGCACTATGCCTCCTCATTAGCCGTGCTCACCTTAATTCTTACAGCTCCCCCAGGCAAGATGCATCACCACCACTGCTAGAGTTGTAGAAAAACCGATGTATGTGGCCAATTTACCAGTTGATAACCTCCCCTTACCAGGGATTATATATACATATACATATATATAATAACTGAATGATTATAGAATAATATAGGAAATACCAGGATATCTCACCAACTGCTGATATGTTTTTGATAGCCTTTAAATCCAAAGTAAATTTTTAGTAGCAGGAAATGCATGAAAAACTTAAATAAAGAGAAAGAGAAGCTAATACTCCCTAGCGTTTACCCACTTCATGAAAAAAGTTGTCAATCTCCTTTTGTTGCTCCAAAATAAAGGCCAAAAGACACAATGCATCAGTGCTCTGCTCAACTTAAAATTTTCAGCTTCGCTGTGCAGGGTGTGGCACCAACTTTGGACTTGAAATGGTTACATTGGTAAAAAATTAAGGAAATGAAGTATACCATTCGCGGAACAACACAATTGTTCCCTTACCAAAGACATAGCTTGTAACACGAACCTTACAACTAGAACAGTACCTAGAAACTTACAAAGAACCAACTCCCAAGGACATTCAAAAGGATAGCCGAAATAAACTGACATGCTGATGTGGACAAAAAAGCAACGATACCTGTGAAACTGTTCCAAAGTAGATTGACCATCACCCATTATAATTGAGATCAAAGTGATGCTCATTCATTCTCATTTCAAACACGACATTATCATGGGATAGATCATGCACTGTACATCTCTAGTTGTGCATACCATTTAAATACAGAACTTGATATTATAGTCCATTATAACAATCAAGTTAGGCAAAAATATATGCTGTAAATGAATTTTCCTAGAAACTAGTAACACCAAATTGTGGGGTTCCACAGAACCTTTTCAAATGCAAATAGGGAATAAAATTCAGTTATACAACTAAAAGTTTCAGTTATATATGCTGTAAATTTTACTTGATAAAACAAATGAATTGAACTTGATGGGTGAAACACTACATCTGAAAAATACAATGTAATTTATAACCCAACAATGACTGACGAAGAAATTAATTCACCAGCTAAAATAATAAGGTTTGAAATCAAAAAAATAAAAATAAAAATAAAAATTTTGAAACTTGAGATAAACAACAAAAATATTTTTTCTTAAAAAGGTGAAAAACAATGCGTTGAAAAAAAACTGAACCTCTTACCAAACCAAAAGGAAATAACCTGAGCACCACTATGTGATGCTCTTTAATACCTACCCGCTTGATAGGCCCGTAAGCCTCGAACTCCCTTTTGATTTTGCTCTCTGTTGTCTCGTAATTCTGAAATGAGAAATATGTCACAAGTTATTAAGTTAAAAATATGGAAATAATAGAAAAACTGATAAACAAGAGGACAATGCTACGCACCAGCCTAGCAACAAAGAGTGTCTTATATGGATCTCCAGAAATATTTGTGTCGTTATTCGGATCATCTGCAAGGAGATTTTTTTTTCTTGCTAAGAATAGTTAACTGCGCCACAAACTATGGATATGAATTTTACCCAGGTCATAATCTGTGAAAATAGAGAGTGCCCTTATTACATTTCTCAAGTTCCTCTGCAGCCTTTTTTGCACCCTCTTCCAGCCGTAACTTATGGATCCTAGCCCTTCTTTGTGCCTGAATCCAAAAAGTGAATCAATAAAGACATATAATGCCTGTAACAAGTTATATAACATCACAAATAAACAAACAAAGAAGATGCTTATCAGAAACTTCGCATAGAAATGCATTACAAATGATGAACCAGTAGAATTTATCTTCTGTTTTGGGATATGTAATCACATGAATCCAAAATACCAAAGCCACAACTTCTTAACCATTCATAATTTCATACAGTTAATTATGTAACCAGGTTGCATCCACTTCCCCATAACTTGCAAGTTCAATCAGCATAGCAGATAGCTCATTCACAAGAACCATCAAACTCATTATTTGATATAAGACTCCATCAATACAATTTTTGGTGCCATGAGTGTCGTTTTGGGGCACTGGGTTGTCAGCTCTCCCACGATGTATCGTGCTGGTTGTTTCTAAATTCATATGCAATCAAAATGTTTTCAGTAAAACTACGCGAGTTACAAATACTTTCACCTGAGTCAATTGGCTACTGAGTTGTTTGGGATCAAGCTAAAAAAGCCACGTTTTTTTTTTTTTTAAACTTAAAATTGTCTGTAGTAATTTTTTTCAAATTTGTGCCATTTTTTTTTTACTTTACCAGTAGTATGTCTAGTGTAGAAGGATCCAAAAAATAAAAATAAAAATCACCAAAAAAAAAAAAAAAAAAAAAAAGGAAGAAGAGAGAGAGAGAGATAATTGTTTTCGCCTTTTTTTTTGTCTTTACTTTAGTGGACTTTGTTAAAAAAAAAACTTTTCTAGAACCTAAAAAGGGTAAAGTTTATGATTTTTTTATTTTTTGTGAAAAGTTCACGAAACACAAGAAAAAAAAAAATCAACAAAACACCCACTAAAGACCCAATCCCAAACCACGAAAGAATCATGGACTAGGGGTTAAGCTTTGATATTGTCATAAAGTGTTGGGAAGTGAAAAAGTGAGAGGAAGGGAAACAGTGCCCATCTACTACGACAACGGAATTTGGACTGGATGGGTCCATAATACTCATCTAAAGCATTTTCAAGGTATAAAAAACTGGTGAACATCACAGGATTATGCAAAAGCATATGGTTGTCGTTAAACTCCATACATCCCAAGCTGCCTTTCTCTAACCCAACCTTTCACAGGTAGAACCTTCCATGAAAGTAACCCTTTGTATAACCAAGTCCACCCAGATTGTAAGCAAATCAAGAAAAACTTCCAATTATATCAGATGTGTGATGAATTTGTGAAGTAGGAATCAGGAGACATACTTGTATCACTTTGGAGTGCCCAAAAAGAACCAACATAAAATATACAAATAATTTGTTAGTAACTAACCATGCTAAAAACAACACATGTATGGCCTCCTCTAGCCCTAATTTCAGATCATCCAAGTTTTAATATATATACAGCAATTTTTGAAAATAAAATAGAAAAGTCATTCCACTAGCATTTAGCAGATGTTACATCAATGATTCATGAGATGAGGGCATCTTACAGGAGTTTCAGCCTCTTGGACTGGTGGCTGATATTCAGGATCACCTTTCTCAGCAAAGTTATTCACAAATTGTGCCATTCCTTTGACATGAAAAATGTAAATTAAAATAAAGTTACAGCTAGGATAATCAAAACATTGTAAACAAAAATCAATAAATTCAATCCTGAAGGTTTCCAAGTACCTGTATATGGCAGGCATTTTCTCTTCTCCGGAGGTGGTTTATACTCCAGGGGCGGCCGGGGCTCAAAAAGCTTTAAAAGGTTGGCTGTTAAACCAGTGGGATGACTTTGCCCAATCTGCATTCAAAAGAAACAACTCAATAAAAATAATCCCAAACCCAAAAATAACTATGATTGAATGAACATAATTACTCTAGCTATATAATCAATCATTGTACATGACTTCTCTATGTATTTTGTGAGCGTGTAAAGAAAAAAAAAGGATTTTTCAATCAGCAAAATTACAAGCAAATCAAATGCAATTCTTGGAAGCTTAAAAACCATATTAACAAATTATATCATTTAACCGATTTGATAATGCTCAACCATCAAATTCCAATCATCAACCATCTAAACCAAATCCAAAATCAACTAAAATAAAAATCAACACAGTGAAGAAAATTAGATCAAATCGAAATTAGGGTTTAAGGAGATTATCATAAAACCGCCTAGAAACCTTGAAAAAAGGAGACATACCAGCTTCAATTGCATGACATTGACACGATTCTGCGCTTTCGTGCGGGCCTGGACGGCGGCATTATTGTTGCGCATGAAGGCATCGTTGTAATCTCCCATCTTCGCAGCTTAGGGTTTCTGGAGTTCTAGATATGGCGATCAGATCGTGGAGATCGCGCGCATCGGACGGTCGATGTTAGATCTCGGAGGTTGTGATGGTGGAGTGGAGTGGAGAGAAAGGAAGAAAAAACTGATAGCGGCAGCAAATGGTAGAGGGTTTCGCTCGCTAATTTTATAGACCAGCGAATCAGCGATTATAGACCAGCTGATAGACAAGCGAATCAGCGATGGAGGAGGCGGTGCTATTTTTTTATCAATTTTTTGGGTGAATTACATGTATCCTCTAGGTTTGGCTAAATTACAAATATTTTTGGGATTTGAGAAATTATAAATTTTTTCCTGAATGTTATATTTGCATAATAAATTAGGGAGTAATTTGTTATAAAATTTAAACATCAGGAGACAAATTATTATGAAAATACAAACCTTAAGGGACGAAATGTAATTTTCGAAACTTCAGAGATACCTGTAATTTAACCAAATCTCACGGGAAGTATATGTAATGTGCCCTAATTTTTTTTATATATTTATGGTAGTGATGTTGCTAAAAAAATTAAGAGAAAATTTAAAAATAAAAATATAAAAAATTCAAGATTTGATTTTACTAACAAATTAAATCTTAATTTTTTAATTATTTTAATTTAAACATTTAATTTTTTAAATTATATCAATTCCAATTATTTAATTAATATAATAGGAACAATTAGACTATTTAATCACTTTCTATTATAATTATTAGATGGTGAGTGTGATTATGGTGGGAAGAAGGACGAGGGGTGAGTGAATTGGATAAAAGACAAATAGTCATGTATGGAGAAAATATGAGGTATTTGATAAAAAATTTAATAGAAATTTTGAGGTTTTTAACTGTACTCATCTATTTAATCAGATGACATTCGAGTTTTTTTTTTATCATATTTTTTAATTTGATTTTTTTAATGTTGATTTGGAAAAACATATTTTGAATAACATTATAATTTTGTAAAAATCGGTCACTTGGTATGTTTTTTGAGAGCTGTGGTCAAAACACCGTTGTAATAAAAGTTTAATACATTAAGAACACTTACAAAAAAAAAAAAAATTAAAAAGTCTAACACATACTATTATTATTAAAATATATTTAGTGAGTAATTTAATATTTTAAACTTTAAAATAATATAACTTTTAATTTAAATGTCTATTTTTAATAAAATTAATATTTTTATAATCCTCTCATTAAGATCTATCAAATAAAATTTATGTTGATTATGAAATTTTTATAAAAAAATAAACAAAAATATAAATTATCATCGAAATTAAAGTAAACAGTAATATGTTACTCTGTTTCATAATAAAATGTTATTCTAATTGACAGTAACATTTTACTGTCTGTTTTGAACAAAACATCAGGAACAAAAACAAAGTACAATGCTCTATACATATGAACTCACACTATTTCTAGAAATTAAAACCCATATCCGTAGAATACTAAATTGCAATTTTAAAAATCCTCTTTGTACTAATAAAAAATGGCACATCAATGACAGAAGAAGCCTCCGAATCAACTAAATTTTGACCATTACTTTCATTATTATGCCAAATACTTCAAATACAACCACGAGCAATGTCAATGGTGATGTCGGAGCCAAGAAACCCATTAGGACCACAGCTTTCAACGATTAACCCTAGCAGAAGATGCTACATAAACACCATGTTCTTACCGAGAGCTCTGGCTTCTATTTGGGAGAACACGACGGCCTTGATTGATCTCTCTATAAATCGCTTGAACGCGGAGGCATAATTGTCCAAAAAAAGTTAAAAAAATATGAATTTGTCTTTCATAAAGAACATGCTTTCGCTTTTTGTTTAGAAGATTTAAGAAGTAAAATATTTCAGATTATCCTTTACAAAACTAACATATTGGGCCAAAGAGATTTTTGCCAAACTTTCCATTTTTGACAATTGATTTTTATTCAAGAAAGAAGGCAAGACACAAAGAGAAATAGTAGTTAATTAATAGTATGATTGCCCATCGTTAATATAAATTTAAAATGAAATACATTCAGTTTTACAAACAATAGAAGCTTCTCTACCCCATAAATATGATTCATCTTATATGTATGTATCCATACAAATGAAATACACAGAATAAAAGTTGTTAAATTTCACAATCCAAGTCATCTCCATGACACCATCTAGACTTTCATCCGGCCGAACGCTTTTGAATTTTCATTTTTTTTTTTTGTGAGTTTTTTTCAAATAAACAAAGTCAAGAGTTATAAACATAATATATCAAATTAATTTGTAAGGTATCGTCACCCACCCGAACGATTGTGTCTGGTCTTGTCGAGTCAAGACAGTTCATCTGTTCCTTTTTCTCCTGTTTATTCACACTAGGATAGGGTATAATATTAATGGGTATACAGAATCTCGTGTGCTTGCTCTATAGATTTTGGCGCTTTTGGTTCCCGGAGTTGCCCAACTCCCGCGAATCGCCACTAGAAGAGGACGGATTGAGGCCGTATTCGCTGGTTGCGCCGTATTCACTGCTTGGGAAATCTTGGCCTGACATTACCATCTGTTTGAATTTCACCATGTCAGCATTGTATGCACCAGTATCATATGTTTGTGTGTCGGAGCCTGTACTTGGGCTATAGGCAGAGCTTTGGCCTGCTGGCTTTCCAAGATCATTCAAGTCATCCAGGGATGAATCTCCTTCTAATGCACGTACAATCTGTTTCCAGTAACATATAACATTACTTAACCAATGTATAGATATATACTAGTGAAATTATGCTTCAAATTAGAGGCTTTTGTACTGTGTGACTTAAAATGAATCTGAATCACACTATTTTTTTTTAATAAAATTCTAAGATTTTTTTTTTTCTTTTGATACTTAGAATTACTCCTATTTTAACAAATTGGGAAGAATGCATTTTCTTGGTGCAGCTAACAGTATTCCCCCTGTATTTGTTTAGGATTTATCTTCTACTTTGAAAGTTTCTTTGTAGTAATTATTTGTTGTATTTAGTCTTGATTATCATTGTAATTCATTAGATTATAACATAAAGTCATATATATTAATAAATAAATAAAAAGTAGAGCAGGTTTTCTTTCATTATAATTCAAATACCCTTTGATTATTTAGTGCATTTGGAAACCCCTCACCCAAGGCACAAGATATCTGTCCTCAAAATTCATGTTTCCATGGTATTATCAATATATACGACTTCCTTCTGATATAACGTAGGCCTCCATACATACCTGGCTCATCTTCGAGCGCCTCCTAGCAGAATGACGGATGCTGGCAGCAGCACAAGCGACCATGCGTGCCATCTCTTGGGGTTCATAGTTATTTTCTAGGCGTGGATCCACCAGCTCGTCATAGTTGCCATCTTCCAATGCATGGGTTAGGAGTGGCCTCGCCTGTTTGTGACATGCCAATAGAAAATTAAATCAGTGAAGATCAGGAAAAAAATTGCAAAAATAAAACAAAATTCTTCATGACAACATTAATTTGAAAGATGCTAGTCAAGATTCTTAATTAGAATTTGCAAATAAAGAACTGTAGTATGTACAAACCCAGTCTACTAAGCTGTCTTCCATGAATTTATTGGTAGGATCCACTGGTCTCCGACCAGTTATGAGTTCCAAGAGCATCACTCCAAAGGAGAAAACATCAGATTTATCAGTTAGTTTGCCACTTGATGCATATTCTGGAGCCAAGTACCTGTATTTACAATAGAAAATTTTCAAATCATTAGCTTAATTTCCGTCAATCTTGTCTCTTTTGATATGTAGTCCGTGTAGGTAAAGCAATTATCGACATGTAATGATGATGTGTAAGGTACTACTATGATCATATTGGTTCATGGTTTAGATGTTTATTTAAGAAGAGAAAAATTATAGGAACATGTTGAATATTTCATAAATGGAGTTCATGATGTAAGTGCATTTTCGAACTTATTTTTTGTGTGAAATTTAGTCATGAATTTAAAACATGGTATAGAGAATTACATCAAGTAATGTGACTTCGATGTCATCTCATGCATACTCTAGGACTCCAAAATGTACCCGTTTAGCCTCTCGATTATAAGTACTTAACCTTTAGTTATTCCTTAAAAACTAAGCTCACTTGAATAACAATCATAGTGAAGAGATTTGAATGACTTACCCAAAAGTCCCCATGACACGTGTAGAAACATGAGTGAAATTGTCAGAAGAGAGTTTAGCCAATCCAAAATCTGCCACCTGAATAGAAAAGTATTGCAACATGATTAATTATCTTCCACAAGTGGCAACACAAGATGTGTGGTATGAATTTTGACAACAAAATGTTAATGGATCCAAAAGAATGTGACATATAAATTACCATGGCTTCAAACTTATCATCAAGTAGAATGTTAGCGGCTTTGATGTCACGATGGATAATTCGAGGGTGGCCTGCATGTATTTAATAAATCAGAGAGAGAGAGAACACTACAATATATAAGAGTTTTAGAGACCAAATATTTAGATCTCTAAAAGTGAAAATTTTGTTGCAGAAGACATTTAGGGACTAATTTCTATTGTCATGATGATAGTCACTAAAAGATCGTCTCGAAAAATAAAAAACAAGGCTTTTAGCGACAAAATTTTAAGAATGTCACTAATAAATAGATTTTTAAAGACAAAATAATTTGATCTCAAAATGATTTATTTTTTGAGACAAAAAATTTGACCTCAAAAGAATAATAATTCATCACTAATGTCCAATTTTTGTTGCTAAAAATATAATAACAACATTTTTCGCAACAAAATTATTTGATCCTTAAAAAATAATTATGTCCCTAAATTTTGGTCTTTAAAACTTTTATTTTTTGTAGTGGAGAGAGAGAGGGGTATGAAAATCATACAGTCTTCATGAAGGTAAGCAAGCCCCTTGGCTGATCCCAATGCAATCCGCAACCTAGTTGCCCAGTCCATGGTTGGCTGACCTTTCCCTGCAACAAAAAAGATTGTAAGCTTTCATGTGATGTTGAATATACTGATATAATTTCTCTCCACAGCGATTGGTACCACGTGTTGGTATCACTAACCATTATATTGTAACAAGAAGTTGATGATTAATTAAGATTTATTTATTTATTTATTTATTGACTAACCATGAAGATGATGTTCCAAGGTCTTGTTGGAAACAAATTCATATACTAACATCCTCTGCCCATCAGCAATACAATACCCAACAAGCGACACAAGGTGGCGATGATGAACGCGGCTAATGATTTCAACCTCCGCCTGAAACTCCCTCTCTCCTTGCCCGCTACCCGTCTTGAGACTCTTCACCGCCACCTCCTTCCCATTTGCCAACACGCCTTTATGCACGTACCCGAACCCACCCTGGCCCAACACATTGGCCTCAGAAAAGCTGCCAGTGGCGGCAGCAAGCTCGTCATAAGTGAAGGTGCTCTGGTTGAGGCCTAGAGGGGATTGGGGTGGGATGGGAGTGTGGTGACTGGGGTCTAAGTATCCAGAACTGTATTCACTGCTTGTGAGGACTGGGGCTGGAGGAGGAGGTCCGGCCCAGCCACCAACACCGCCTGGAGGAGTCCCCATTAGGCCTGGTGGCGGTGGAAGCTTCACGATGTGTTCTCCCGGTTGAGGACTGTTCCAGTTTGTCAAACCGTTGTAATATTCACCTACCAAACATAAAATCACAAAACACAATAGTAAGCAGTAATCAACAAGAAACTAGATTGTGTTTTCAAAAACAATTTTGGCATTTCAATGGGGAGGTTCTTATGGTAAAGTGAATTAGAAAACATTGAACTTTAGTTTGAGTATTGGTAGAGACCTCTAAAAATTATTTTTAAATTTATTGTTGGGTCACAGTTAATTGATTCCTAAATAAATAAATAACAAATGCAATGCAACAATGACAAATTTAGGGAGAGATATTTTAGGGGTCATTTTTTTTTTCCCAAAGCAACTATGTTTACAATTTTCACCTTAATCATGTTAAAGCTCATTAATTAATTCCAGCATACATACATCATGAATTTATTTTCATCCTAAATTGCAACAATTTTGGAATATAATAGATAAATTATTATCTCTCTTAACTCATGCTTTTAGGATAAGTTTATAAAACCTTATTTTGAAACTTTTGTGATAATTAAGAAGCTTTATTTGATCTCCGATGAATGACAAATGAGCTATGAAACAATGCATTATTGATAAATTCGCCAACAGATTATGAAGAATTGCATTTGATAAAGTATTGGGTGATATCATTCTTAATTGAAACATGTAGGCAATTAAATGCAATCATAAAAAGAGGTCAAGGGTTGTGGATTAGCACCTTGAGGTCCACGGGGAGGAATAGGATCCATATAGTACTGCTTCTTATTCTTTTTCTTCAAGAAACATACCAAACAAATGATGATCATAGCAAGAACCACAATGCCACCACCCACGGCTGCTCCTACAATAATTCCTGTATATGATGACGATGATGATGATGATGGTGGTGGCGATGATGATGTTGGTGAGTGGTGGTGACTAGAGGATGAAGGCGGTGACTTGCTCGACGTGTGTGGAGGTGGAGGCACTGAGATAGAAGATGGCGGTATTGGTACAAGTGACGGAGGAGGTGGCAAAGCCAAGCTGGGTGAGCCTGGATTGGTGAAATTTGTTGTAGAAGGCGGTGGTGGGGAAGCAACAGTAGTAGGAGGAGGCGGTGATAGTACTAATGACGGTGGTGGTGGTGGTGAGTGTGGCGGTGAGCCATTTGGTGCAGGTGGTGATGGCGATGTAGTTGGCGGCGGGGATTCGGTTTTTTCAGGTGGTGGTGGGGAAGGAGAAGGTTTAGGGGGAGGGGATTTTGCAGTTGGTGGAGGAGGAGAAGCGGGTGGCGGTGATGACGGTGGTGGTGACGATGGTGGTGGTGATTTTGTTGGTGGAGGTGATGTTGAATTTTTAGAAGGCGATGACGATGGAGATGAAGATTGTTTAGAGTCGGATAGAGGAGGCGGTGATTGAGATTCCGGGGACGGAGCAGTCACGGAGGCCATATTGAAATTCCGGTCAATATTTATGAGTCAGAATACACGCCGGAAATTCCCCTCCTCCTCTACCGTAACTGCTCGCCGCCAATACTTCAGGACCCTAAACACAACAACAACAGCCACCCACAAAATGGCTGAGATTCAATTCAAAAACAAGAAGCTCATTTGTAGCCACAAACCAATTACGAAACAAACGCTCAAGCTAAAGTTACATTAATTTAGTTCAGGCAATGTCTAGAACACCTTTGTCATAATAAAAAGAAAAAATTACATTGCCACTCAAAAAAAAAAAAAAAAAAAATCTAATCCCACATTTTGTTCCTGGATCTAATAAATATTTTGTTTAATGCGTTTGTAATTGCAAACCCATCATTTTCATGTTATTGAATTTGCAAAATGGGAAAAGAAAAAAAAAATGTTGAGAGAAATACCTGGATGTAGAAATTCAGGGTTCTGATCAATGAAAAGAGAGAGAAAACTTGTTGCATTCTGTTTTTTCCATTTAGAAAGCTCAGCCCTTCCTTCCTGCAATTGCCTCCTACAAAGCAGGGCCTCTCTCTCTCTCTCTAAATCTTTTTGTCTAGGCTGCCTCAACTTTAGCTGAGTTCGTTATTTCTCTTACAACTTCCGGATTTTTTGCCGTTTTAATTGCACCTCTCATGCTATGAATTCTTATGATAATTTGATGTTTTTTATATTAAAAATTAACAAATTTGTCACATAACATGTCATTCAAATTACAAATTAACTAATTTGTTACATACATAAATTTTTTTAAGAACAGTGAATTTTTTTTCGTCTCGGACCAACCTGTAATTATTTGACGACTGTCAATTTCCCTTTTTAGTACCATGAATTTTATGAAATTATTATTATTATTTTTTTTTGAAAATATGTATATGATTTGTATCATGGAAATCTTTGCAAGCTCCACCTCAACTATCAGCTGTGTAGTTGGAAAGTTTACTTGTTGAATTAGGGTTCACCAAGTTTTTATTAGACTTCAAAGAATGATGACCCGTCATCAATAGAATATGATTTATCTATTAAATCTAACATTTAAAGATTAACTTCACAAATCAAAAAATCACACATACTTTAAAATCATATGAACATTCATGAAATCTTAATTAAAGAAACCTCATTCCTACTTATGTAATTTGTTTAAAGTGATGTGTTTGAAGTGATGAAGTCAATTGGAACCATTCAAAACTTTCATGATATGAATTATGTTTTTTTTAATCATTATCTAATGATGATATTATATATTGGTAATTACTTATAAATATATAATAATAAAAAAAAAACCTGCATAATAATAATTATAATTGGCAGTATCCACAATTTGAAAGAAAAAAAAAAAAAATCATTATAGGTTCTCATATTTTTGTACTGTTTGCAATTGTATATATATTTATTTCATCGCTAAGAAGAAATAGTTTGTACAATGGTAATACAGACATGTTGATATATTCTGATTTGATTTAAAATCCCCTTATAGTGACATTAATTATGCCCATTGGCCACATTTAGGAAACAAGATTAGTTGCATTTCTAATTAAATAAGTCTCAAAAACTATTACTTGTTTAGCATTAAGGGGTTGTTTGGGATGACCTAAATAAGTGCACTTTTTGTCTTTTTACGAAAAGATGTGCAGAAAAGTAGAGAGGTGATGTGATGGAAAAAAGATAAAAAAATAAAAAGATGGATTATTTTCAACTTCCCAAACTTGACCTAAAGTTAATAAATATTGACGGAGCTCAAAATGTTCATGTTTTGTTGAAAAAATATTTTAAAAAGTAATTCTCCGCTTTACAAAGTTCAGCACAGAAAAAAAAACCACGATCAAGCAAACAACAATCTCAGTAACATTACTTGTATTTAGTATTTACAATTTTTTAGTGTAATTTGTCCTCAAAGGACATCCTAACTAAGCTCAGTGACCTCAAATGAATTAGTAGTATCAGTATTTGGAAACAATTTTGTTAGGTTTTTATTTTTGGTAATTTTGTTTGACAAAACTCCTTTCAGTTGTACTTTTATTTACTCATTTATTTCAGTGAGGTTATGAGTATTTTGACGCGAATCCAACCCGAATTATGCCTTGTAGAGAAGTTTCAGAAGATAATTCTTTCATGTTTGCCACTTTGCTGACTATGTCGGGGATCCAGGGAATCGAGCTGCCCGTCAGCTCGAGAGGGTCCAGAGGGCAGCGCCCCTTGGCGGGTCCGGGGCAATGCCTAGGCGGGGTTGAGAGTCTATGCCGCTAAAGCAAAAAGAAAAAATACAGTCGAAGTTGATTGTTCACTCGAGCGGCCATTTGTGCACTCGAGCAGAGAATCTTTAGTTCCAGAATTTTGATCACCTGCAAAAGTACTGGGAGTTATTTTTTTTTCCGCTCAAGTGACCTTTCCTGTGCTGGTGCGTAGATCCTCTCGAGCGACCATTCTTGCGCTTGAGCGGAGATCACGAATCAGTTTTCTATAAATATCTGTTTCAGTTTGTTTTTAGGTTTACGGCTTCCAAATCTTCTTCTTGGGTGTTAGGGTTTTCATCTGGGGTTTCTTTGCTTGTTTCCTTTGATATCTGTGAGAGTTTAATCATGAATTGGGTAGATTATATCAAAGGATGTCACGACCCAAACTCGCCCCTAAGGATTTAGCATCGTAACTAGCCAGTAATTTGGGATTACCAAAGGCCCAGTAATAACAATTGTGCAATAGAGGGGGCAACAGAAGCCTGTAAATATTAAAATAGAATGTCTAAAGAGCTGTGAGGACTTAAATGAGTAACACAAGTTTCACATACTAATATATGCAAAATACTTAAGTCCATAAGACGTTTATATACAAAAACAAAACAGATGCTAGGGAATTAAATCCCAAAGCCAAAATGATTTATACAATATTCACTTGACTTCATAAGAGAGCACCTAAAAACAAGCCTTAACCCATCACAATCCATTCAATCCCAGAAAAAAACCTATTCGGCAAAGGTCCAGTCCATCTGACCCCCAAAAGGCCAATTCAAAAAAGATCTATCCATTACCAAAAGATCCATTCTAAAAATGCCCAATTTAGTCGAGCCCGTCTAGACTAATCCAATTTAGATACATCAAGTATAACCGGGTCAAAAATTAGTCAGCTCTCAGCTTACACCCATCCATTTCTTTAATTGCCAACTTAGCAGACCTATGATGGCTCAGAGTCTGGAAGAAGTTATGGCCATGATAGCGACCTAAACTAAGGAATTGCCATGCAGGATGAGACCAATGCTGAAATGCAACGCCCATCTGGGGCATCTACTACACATCCAATCCTGGGCCCCTAGCTGAACTTTGACCCACCTTCGCCAGCTGAAGATTTGCAGAGACCAGATCCTCGAGAAAGGCTAGCTCAAGCTTGAGTTTTCAGACTCTTGGGACATCCTAATAAGGGGCTTTATCCCCTTGGTATTGATGATCTCGAACCGATCTCATTAAATATTGCTAACCTTGAGAAACATTTTAAAAAGGCATAGGGAATTAACTCCATTCCAGACATCGAGAATGAGCACACCGAGGCTGCCGTAAGACTCCTAGACAGATTCAAAATGCTACACATTGACCATTTCGATGGGTCTGGAGATCTTATGGTACATATCCGGCTTTTCTTGGACGTCTTGAAACCAATGGGTCTAACTAAACCGCAAAAACTCTCTCTGTATGGAAGAACCCTGTCAGGTATAGTAGCCACTTGGTACGCCAAGTTGGAGGATAAAATGAAGCAGAACTGGGAAGAGTTGGCTGAGGCATTTGTCAATTAGTATTCTTACAATACCCAAGTTGAAATGACTACCCAAGAGCTTGAAGCAACCCACTAGAATCCTACAGAACCTTTTGTGAAGTTTGTTGCAAGGTGGAGAGCAAAGGCAGCACATATGACAGATCGACCTTCTGAGAGGGACCAAGTGCGGATAGTGGTACAGAACCTTGAACCTAATATGTTACATAAGTTAATAGTCGCTCCACTGTTCACTTTCAAAACTTTGCATGAATTAGGGGTTCAGGTTAAGGGTGCATTCAACAAAGGGATTATTCCCAGAACAAGCGAACCAACAAAGATGGTGTTTTTCGGGAGCACTATTCCCAAACCCACTGAAATCAATACCATTGCTACTGCTGACCCATTTGCTAATCCAAGCCCACAAACGGTCAGCCCAACCTAAGCTCAAGGTAGAACTTTCATCCCCTCTATATGAGCTTAACCAACGCACTAAAAGTCCTAATGGAGAAAGGGTATCTTAGAGCCCTTGATCTCCAACCACTTCCTGACCCACTCCCAACTAGACATAACCCCATCAAATACTGCGTGTATCATCAGTAACGCGGTCATGGCACCCATTGTTGCTACCACCTTCGTCATGAGGTTTAGAATCTCATCGACAACTAGATAGTAGCTCCACCTCAAGACCCTAACGTTACCACCAACCCACTTCCCATCCATGACCAAGTATTTCCCCTCCACTTTAATCTCATCCATACACTGCTTCCTACTTTCAATCCTAGTATATACATCACCTTGGCCCATTTACCCAAGCCTGAGGTGTTCATTCTCAAAAGTACTGATTTGTGCATGATGGATGCACCCAATCTAGTTCGGGTACACCAAGAGCGCCAAATGGCCGAACCCACTACTACTGAAATGTTAGGAATAATTGAAGATCTTCAAGGAACAGTGGCAGATTTAACATTTGGGGTTTCGATCCCATCACCAAGTTCCTCAATCTTGGGGTAAGCTGTAATTGAAAAAGGCCAACCGAAGCTATCTCAAGTCTGGTTGATGACAGATCAACAACAAATGGGTCTTGCTTTGATATAGCCACCCAAACCCTTGGCCAAGCAGAAGTAAGTGACAAGAACAAAGCCAGGACAAGTATTGATCCCTATGCACAACTTCGGTGGACTATTAAGACTTTGAAGGTCAAAGGGTTAAACAAACAGCAAGTGCTTGCAGTTGTTGCAAAAACCGTGGATTACACTTTTATCGCTTAGGATGAGAGCATTTTGAATCAGGGCAAGCAATGAAAATGGATGCTTTACCAGAAACACCCATCCTAATTTCAGTCCCAAGCCTATGAATACCCGACCAACACCCGCCACTCCATTTGCCAATGTTTCTAAACCTAGTGTTTCCTCTTCCCTGAAACGAACCTTCACCCAACTCCATATAAGCCTAACCTATGCGTTAAAGGTACTGATGGAGAATGGATATCTCAAACCGCTCAATCCTCGACCTCTCCCTAATCCTCTCCCACCTAAACATGACTCTACCCAATATTGCACATTCCACCAGTAGTACGGTCACCATACTGATTGTCGCTTTCGCCTTCGCCTTCGCCTTCGCCTTTGCCATGAAGTTCAAGACTTGATTAACAATAAGGTCATCACCCTACCTGAAAATCCCAAAGCTGTCAACAACCCTGTTGCCATTCCATAACATATAACCCATACACTGCTTGCCACCAACCAACCATTACCCTAGCCGACACAACATACCCGCCAATGAGCCCAAACCCACTATGTGCATTCTTGAATCTTTTGATTCCGA